GGGGAGAGGAGCCAAGATGTGGGGTAGGTAGCTTGTCATCGAGGAAGTCGTTGAGCATACGGAGAGATACCGCCGGCTGGTCCATCGGCACCATATGCCCAGCCTCTCTAATCTGAAAATGAAGGACATCAGCATATCTATTCGGGCAGAAAAGGTTATCTGAACGAGTCCTACCTGCATGAACGAGAACTGCCCCCCATTGTCCAAAGTAACACTGCGTACTTTCCCCGCAACTTTGCCGGATGTATTCTGAACTCAATAATGTTACTGTTGTTCTACTGTCACGACGCTGAATTGCTTGCTCGAGCCGCTCCTGACGATACCTTATAATCCCGATCCTCCTGCTTGTTGAATTGTTCTTGACCTTGCCACTCCAAATTCAGTGCCCACTTCTTGTTACCGATCCAATTACAACTATAATCAACATCACCGACATAGATCAGCACCTGCACAAGAAGCTTACTCCTTGTATAGACGACCACCCATCCAGCGTAGATAGAAAGCCTATTACACGTGTGCCACTCTCTATTTGATCGCTGAGCAGTTGATGGAAATTGTGCATGAAGTCCCAGTTGAACAGGATGTTAACCTGGATAGGGGGGCTCACATGTTGGTGACACGCTGGCGGTGATCACCAGAGTGTTGCACTCCTGCCACTTGGTATTAACACCGAGTTCCTCTTGGACTTTCTTATCATTCAAGAACTTGTCAATCTATACCAGGAAATCAATCAACAACCTGCTGCGTCTGCCGCCGCTCAACTCACATGCGAAAAGTCGTAGCAAAGCGGCGGGTGTTCGCACTTCTGACGCATGTCGTACCTGTAGGTGCCTACATGCCTGGCAAAGACCAACCCTACGAACTCACGGGTTGAGACCCTTCTCCTGATATGGACTGAACAGTGCGCGGTTACATTGGAGGAAGGCCTTGGTGCAAGCGAAACCTACACATAACACGATCATCGACTATTACCGTATAATCATCAATGATGGTATAAGTTAGTTCATACGGGAAAACTCACTTCCATCCTTATTGCATTTACGAATAGCTTCAACACAGCCGGGAACAGCCGCCATCATTTCTTCATATCTGGACATACCAATCAGAAAATATCATAGTAATCTGAGATGAGCACGCATCAACTACTCTTTCTCGGACACCCGGCTTGGTGCGGTAGTGCTGTTGTATGCCAT